AATCGAAGATCTGACGTGAAGTCTGCCAACCAACGAGCTGCGCGCAGTCGCTCCTCGTGCCTGCCTCACTCAGCATGCACTGTGCTTGTGCTGAGCGTACATGTGAACGTGCGTGGCACTCGTGGAGCCCCCGCTCACATCAGCCGAGTCTGATGGTGAGCCATGCAAGCAGTGGACACACGTCAGTCAAGCCGCTTCGACGATGATCAGCTTATCACACAGAGTCAAGATGAATCCGATGGGATGGCACGGCATCAAGGGTTGGGGGTGCCGTACTTGCATTCTGACCCATCCCCCTTCTGAGGCGTACAAGAAGGGCGTTTGTTGGCGACTGCAACAGTCAGGCTGTCCTCTCCGTACCCACATCCCAGCCTTCACTCCAACCCTCTCAACCTCGACTGGCATTCACGTCCGCCATGCCAGCTGCAGTCATCTACGCCAAACATCTGCCTGCCGGCACTCGCAACCGCGTTGAGAGCGTAGCTCTGATTGGCGCCACGGGTCAGCAAGGCAGTCACATTCTCAAACAGCTGCTTGCAAGTCCTGCCCTGTCTCGCCTCCAGGTGACTGCGCTCACCCGAAAGCAAGGCGGAAGCGCCAATCAGCTCAAAGTCGAAGCAGATGCGAGGGCGCGGGTGCGGGTGCGGGTGCTGCCTGTAGATTACGACGACCATGCCGAGCTGGTGCGAGCGCTTCGAGGCAAAGATGTGCTGCTCTGCACCCTCTCCGTTCACGCGCCACCCGAGCAGCAGAACAAGCTCGTGGACGCTGCCAAGGAAGTCGGCGTCAAGTGGTTCATACCAAACGAATGGGGCTACGACCCTTCGCCCGCAGTGGCGCAAGACACCATGATAGGCCTGTCCAAGTCCAAGGAGCGCGCATACATCCAACAGCGCGACTTGCCTTGGATCGCCTTTGCGCCCGGCTTTTGGTACAGCTACAGTCTCAGCGGCGGCGAAGCGCTGTTTGGCATCGACATCAACAATCGCAAGGCGGTGCTGTACCAAGGGGGTCAGGTGGCCCTGAGCACCTCTACATGGCAGCGCACTGCACGTGCAGTCGCATCCCTGCTCAGTCTGCCCATGTATCCACGCAACGAGGCTGATGCAAGCATCACCATGAGCCACTGGCTCAACCGCTTCGTCCACATCTCCAGCTTCACCCTGACTCAACGCGAGATGCTCGACTCTGTGCAGCAAGTCACGCACACCACCGACGCCGATTGGACCATCGACGTCTCCACATCTGCAAGAGAGGCGTGGCAGCAGGGCACCGAGGAGCTGCGCGCTGGCAATAGGATGGGCTTTGCCAAGGCGCTCTACTCTAGAATGTTTTATCCGGAAGATCAACCGGGCAACCTGAAGGATGTCACAGCAGTGGACAACCAGCTGCTCGGGCTGCCGACCGAAGACCTGAAGGAGTATACGCTGCAAGCGGTCGACATGGCAAAGGAAAACTACATGCAAAAGTCTTACGCAAGAAAGTGAAGGCATGCAGCGCTTTCCTCGATGCACACTCTTTCCTGGATGTCATGTGTCACTGAACGTCATCATTATCGTTCAAAGGTCGCCGCCGCGCTTGTACGTACGGATCATGTCCAAGGCACTGCTTGCACGCGAGCAGTGATGGTGCGATTGCATGAAATCCAGTGCTCAATGCTAAAGAGGGATGATGCTGGTATATACGATAGACGTTGGGGAAAAGCAAAGGTCTAGGCGTAATCGAAGTTGAAAGATTGCAAGGAAGGGCGGCAGTCGACGAAGCACAGACTGGGGCGTACAGAGTCGCCAAGGGTGCGGCGCCGCATTGAACGGCTGTGCCAAAGAGTCGACGACAGGGCGCGGCGCGGCGCGGCGCGGCGCACGTGCAGTGGTTTTGTGCTGGCATTGATCTGGCTGATGCTTGAAGAAATCTAGCAATGCCAAGAGTGTCCATGCGTGAAGCTGGCCACGTCAGCATCAATGCTGACGGTAGCCGTGGTGCTGCTTGACAATGTCTGCCGCTTGCTCAGCGACGGCCGCGACTACGCTCTGCAAGTGAGCAGACGGGAGAATGGGAAAGATGCTTGCATCCACGACTCTGACGTTGAGCGTTCCATACACGCGCAAGTCATGCGAGACCACACCGCCGAGGTGCAGGGGAAGCATGGGCAGAGATCCAGAGGGGTGGTCTGCAGGCGATCGAAACATCGGAATAGGCGTCAGCGGGCGACGGGGGGGGTCCCAGTTCGCGCTCTCATTGCAAACTTGCCCGAACTCACACTCTGTGCCGGTAAAGTTTCTAGCAAAGTCGGTCCACTGCTCAAGCGAAGCATTCTCTGGCACAGCTTCGGTACCGGGCCAAGCTTCGCTCTCCACGATGCCCTTCAAAGGCTCAGATTGGGCCAACTTGCGCACGAAAGCGAGCGCGTAGCCTTGCGTGTAGGCGTCCAGCTCGTGAGAGAGGTAGCGCGGGTCGACGACGGGTTTGACGAGAGCATCGGTGCTGTTGATGTGCACGCTTCCCCTGGCGAGCGGACGCTGCGGGCAGGTTACGACGGAAAAGTAGGCCCCTGGAGCTGGTGCTTTGCCGGGTGGAATGGCTGCTTGCCAAGCGTTCAAGAGGTAGAACTGTGCAACCAAAGTTGAGGGAGGGGGGCAGAATCAGCAAAGATCGCTTTTTTATTTAAGAAGAGCTCTCAACCATCGCACCTCGATCTGTGGCCATTTGGCGTAGTGGCGCAAAGCGTAGGCATTTGTAGCCAGCGCGCCACGTCTTGGGACAACGGGCGCGTACTTTTCGACTTCGTGATCGTGACTGCTGGTCTTTGCGCTGGTGAGCTTCTTGTGAGCCTCGTGAGTGTGCTGACCAAACACATTCTCCGCGCCTTTGCGTTTGTTGAGCAGCGTCTGCAAGACGTACTCGCCAGGCACGTAGGTGATGGCATCTCCAGCAAAGTCGAGCAAGCCGGTCTGGTTCTGGATGAAGAGCTTTTGTTGCTCCGCTGCGAGAGTGGCGTTGAAGAGCAGACCATCGAGGGAGGTGTGGTCGTCCTTCAACTTGAGGATGACCGAGGAGGATGGGTGATCCTGCAAGTTCTCTCCTACTCCTGGATTTGCGTACTTGACCTCGATACCAAGAGGCTCGAGGACAGCGGGGTTGCCGATACCAGAGTGCTCGAGGATTGCTGGGCTGTTGAAAGCGCCGCCAGAGATGATGACTGAGGTGCGGTGAAGATGATGGAGAGACTGCGCGTCAGTGGGGGAGGGGGGGGTGCAGCAAAATACCACTCCATGTTCAACAGTGCTCACCTTCTTTGCGCGCGCGCAAATGCTTGATCTTGGCACCAGTGGCGCTTGGAGCGGTAGAGTCGACGACGGTCACACCGTCGGCAACGAGCTTGTCAAGATGACCAGCATGGTGAGACTTGTGCTTCTTCCACTTGATGGCAGTCACGGTGGTGTTGGCAATGACGACGAGGTTCTTCCTGTCCTTGTTGGGTGTCAAGTATGCGAACTCGGTGTCGTCGCGCAACTGTGTCTCGGGCACCAAGGTGGAAGGCCACAAGCTCGAGCCGACATTGTCGCCTGCCATACCGGATCGCGCAGCTTGAGGGATGCCGAGAGCGGACCAGCTAGGGATCCAAGTCTTGATTTGCGGGAGGTGAAAGTTGGTGAAGCCGACGTTGATGGGACCCTTGAATCCTTGAGACTGGCGATCAAAGGTGGCGCCCCAGCCGTCTCGGTAGGATTGCGCGGGCGGAGTAGAGTTTTGAGAC